GGGAGGGGGGCGCGGGGCGAGTAATGGCTGTAACGGCCGGGACGGTTCTCTTCTCTCTCCTCAGGCAGCGCGGCCCCGGGGCCTGTGCCCGAGGGGGTGATCCGGCTCTACAGCATGCGGTTCTGCCCCTTCGCCCAGAGGACGCGCCTCGTCCTCCGCTCCAAGGGCATCAGGTGAGGCCTTCCCGGCGGGCCGGTGTGGGGCGGTGCGCGGCTGCCCGCCGGCCGCCCTGCTCCGCTCTCCCTCGCCCCGCTCCCCCGGTGCCGCTACACCCCGCGCTCCCGCGGCGGTCTGTCGGTGCTCGCAGGGGGCGGTTCAAGCTTGCCTGGGCATCCTCAATGGCTCTTAATTAAACATCCCTGAAAGAACTGAACGAAAAGAGGTTTCTGTGGGTGATTTTGCCATAAAGCTTGAACTTCTTAAGACTTTTTTGGGGAGGGGCGGCTTGCTGAAGTGGGAAATAAGTAGGCTGTGTATGAAATCAGTTATGTAAAAGCCCAAAGTAAATCTGTAGGGAAAAAGCCTAAGCTGTTTTTTTTTTTTCCTCACCTCTCATCCTGAATGTTTGCAATAATAGCATTTGAGCTTGTCCTGGGTAAATGTGAGTAGAACCTTAACGTATGTTGTTGTTTGGTTTTGATGCAAGCTGTAGTGAAAATTCTAGGAGGTACGAATATTCAGTGTTTCTGTTATGTTATTGCTTAGGAAAACACAATAGTGAGCGAGGGGCCTTTTTAAAAGAGGAAATGTACTGTGTTCCTATAACGTCTTCTCATTCCTGTGCTGTAGTAAGTTAATGGAACTCAGTACTTGTGTTTGTTTCTTTTTCAAGATAGCCATGTCATTTCAGTGTTTTGAAACGGGGACTAATGCTTCCCATGGTTTACAGCTTCGAAGCAGCAGGTTTTTCTGCCTTTTTCTGATTCCCACCAAGTCCCAGGCCTGCCAACGGTTTGTTAGCCAGCACTGGGCTGGGAGTCCACATTAGCAGAGTGAATCCTTACCACTCAGTTCTCCTGACAGCAAGATGAGAGTTGGGTTTGTTTGTCTTGTTTTTTCTTGGGTCTTTTTTCAAAAGAGTAGGTGCATTAAAACTTCCAGGTCAGTTTAACTCTGTCTTTATTTAGTGTCTTTGGTCTGATTTTGGAACTGGGAGGTTTGTTTTAGTATAGTGATTTTGGAGGGGTTTTATGGCTACCTAAATGTGGTAGTCACCTTCTGGTAACCTTTCAGTTGTTTTGAAGGTTCAGCTGTGTTTAGCAGACCTTTGGGCTTACTAGGAATTTTCTGGGGTCACACATAACACAGCGTATAACTTATGGTTTGTTAATATAACATAGACATATTTCCCATGTGTCTTTTTTTTATTGATATCTATTTGCCTTTACCCTAAACACCTGTTCTGTGTAAGGCCATACGTGGGGAAGATAGGTGGAATGCTCTCCTGATTTGCTCTTTGGTGTAAGGTCAGATTAAAGTTCAGCTGCATTTCTTAATTGGAGTGTAGCTTATTTGCAATCAAGTGTTTCTTTCTTAGGATGCCCCTGAACCTGCATGTGATGTGTGCTGCATTTTGAGCTTGACCTTTTTTTTTTTTTTAGCATGACTGTAAGGGCTGCCTCTGTTGTGTGCTTGCAGGCTGTTCATGTGTCTTTTCATGTGACAACTCATTGTAAGTCAGTGCTGATTTTCTCCAGCAAAGGGAAGTGCTCCCTGGCAGTATTTCTGTGTGTCAAATGGTAAGTCCTGCAAAGGACTTGAGGGAAGGCTAGGGAGAGCAGGGGAGTGAGGATTCAGCCTCTCAAGTATTGTAGCTGTTGAGGTGTAATGACTGCATTTTGCCATGGTGTGGAATGGACTGTAGCAGAACTGAGCCTGTTGGGTCTTGTTTCTTTCGCTCTTTTAGCCATGAAGTAATCAACATCAATCTGAAGAACAAACCTGACTGGTTCTTTGAGAAGAACCCCTTTGGGCTGGTTCCTGTTCTGGAGACCAGCAAGGGCCAGCTGATCTATGAGTCCCCAATCACTTGCGAATATTTGGATGAAGCATTTCCAGGGAAGAAGTTGATGCCTTCAGACCCATATGAGCGAGCCTTTCAGAAGATGCTCTTGGAACACTTCTCAAAGGTACTGTGTGATCAGGGTGGGATTAGTTTCTTACTTTACCATACCACCAAAATCTGCAGCTCTGTTGTCAATGCTGCTTTCATCCTTTAAGACAGGTCTTGTGTCTGGGGAAAGCATTGTTGTGGTTTAACCTCAGCTGGCAATTAAGCACCACACAGCTGCTCGCTCACTCCCTCCCAGAGTGATGGTGGAGGGAATTGAAAGAATAAAAGGGAGAAAACTCACGGATTGAGATAAAGACAGTTTAATAGGTAAAGCACTGCTCAGCAGTAACTAAAACATCCCTGTATTATCAACACTGTTTTCAGCACAAATCCAAAACATAGCCCCATACTAGCTACTATAAAGAAAATTAACTCTATCCCAGCCAAAACCAGCACAAGCATTTAAATAACCGGAGGCGTTATTTGGGGTCTCTTGCTGTGAGCACGTACAAACCACTGTGTGTCTAAATTGTTCCCAGCATTTATGTGCGGGGATGGATGCGGAAAGCCAGCCAAGCTAGTGAAAGTGTGTATGACTGAGGCAGGATTTTGAGCATCCTACAGCAGACCAAAGGTTAGTCAACCAAACCAGCTGAATGCTTGACACCTAGGCAGTGACAGTTGCTGTATTTTAATCCGAGTCTTTCTGTAGGAAGTACTGCATGAATGTAGAATGTGAAGAGTGCCTGACTGAGAGAGCCTACAACCATGGACAAGAGGTGGCAGGTGGCTGTAGACATGGGACATGTCTAAGGAGACTGGTTTTGGCTCCCAGTAGGGGTTGGAGGTGGGCACTGTGGCTGACTGGAAGTAACCTCTCTGTACAAGGATGTGCTTTGAAGGGTCTAGGAAGTGAAAGAAGTCAGCTTGGATATGAGGCAGCAGAGGAGAGGAAGTAACAGAAGATGCAAAGAGATGTGGACAAAGAAGGGGGACAGAAGGGAGGATATTTTTACAACAGGCTTTTCTGAATAGGTGTGATGGGAAGAGGGATACAGGGAAGCGTGTTGCAAGAAACGAAATGTGCACTGAATGTTGGTTATATGAATGACAAGATCTTAGAAAAATGTTTGTGTCTGAGCTTTTAAGAAAATAATTTAGTTAAGCTTAGCCACTGGGTAACTTTCTGGTCCTGTATGCTCATTTCTCTGGCAATTACCAAATTAGAAAATGTGCAGGTCTGTAGAAACCTGCATATCCTGGGCTGCATATCTCTTTCTTAAAGTACCTTAAATGTTGATAATTAAAGTGCATTTGGATTTCAGAAATGTGTAACTGGGAAAAGAGTACCACTCTGCACCTTGCTACCTTTTTTGGTGGTGTGTGCAAATGGGAAACATACTCTTCTTTTCGTTGTTCTCCTCTTATTACAAGACTAAAATTTATTAGTATTTGCATTCGTTCTTCCTTTAAGCCTTTGCTTACCTTTTCTGAGGTATAAAAGATGTTTATTAATGGACTTTGACTCTTTAAATTTGCATCTAACTTAACATTTTAAGCTCTGAGTGATGTGCTCGTATTATTGCAATAAGAACATTAAACTGTATACTTTCCTTTGTATAGATAACACCCCTAGTTTTCAAGTATTTTGTGGCAGTCAAAGATGGACAGGACGCCACGGCACTGAAAGCAGAGATTGCTGAAAAGTTCGGCAAACTTGAAGAGGTAAGAGTACTTCATGATAACGAGCAGGTTGCCAGTCACTCTATGATCCCTTTTTTCTTTCATGCTTTGGCCTTCGGAGCTAGATGTCTTCTCATTTAGTTGGTAGCTACAGCAATGAACAATCTTTCAAATTATTCCCCCAGCCTAAGATGCACAACAGCACCATTAGAGTAAATTTCAAGTAGTCAAACTAGACTTCATCTGTATGATGAAGGCTGTGAGGACTTGTGGAGTTTTTTTTGAATTCTAGCTGACTGCTGTTGTCTTAGATCTCTTTGTGCTGCTTTAAATGTAAGGAGACCTTGCAGCATGCTCTAAGAGCAAGGGCTGAGGATTCTGAGCTGCTGAAGAGCATCTGCACTGTAGCTCTGCTGAAATCGGTGCAGATACCCCGGTGATGATAGAAAATCTTTTTTGTTCAAGAGCTTATCTTTGTTGGGGAAGCAGAATGTAGTCTGTCCCTTGCAGAAACCCAGCCCTGGGCCATGTTCTGCTACAGTGGTGTAACGCAGCTTCAGCAGAGCGCCAGGAAATGTCAGGTGGCTTTGTACTGTATTAGCAACTTCACGATTTGTGTCAGTAATGGTTCTTGGCTAGTCTGAACAGCTGCCAGACTTGCCTTTATCATGAACCCATTCCTTCTGCGTCTTTAGCAGCCATGACTTATGCTTGTCTGTCTTGATCAAGAAGTGTTCCTCCAGAGTGTTTGTTTCTCTTCTGGTGCAAAGCTACCAATAGCTTTCTAGTACTTTCCTAATTCTCCTAACAGTCCTGTGCATTCTGCTTCCACACCCCCTTGAATTGCCAAAGTAAAATTGTTTTCAGGGTAGTCTTGTCTCTCTGATCAGGCTGATGCTGGAGTAGTGCTGATGACAAATGAGTTCTTGGGGGAAGCTATGTGTGTTTCACTTCCCTGAAATACAGATCTATTAAACATTAAGGAAGAATTAACCTTCTTCCTGCTTTATTAATGCTGTGAAATACTTACTGCTCCTTCAGTGTCTCTATTTTACTATACCCTGAAGGATTTTGCAGCAGCAGCTGAAGGTCAGCTGAGGATGGGAGGAAGGAAGAGAGCCATGCAAACTTCACTCAGCCTATTGGAAGAGACATTCAAGAAGGGAAGTGTTTTGAAACACTTCTGTATTAAGTTTGCTGCTACCCGACAGAGGGAGCTGTGTTCCCGTCTCTGCAACTTGCTGGGTTATATTCTGCCAGGCAGTTGGTAATTCAAACAGCTCGATGCTTCCTGAAGGACTGCTTTAAAATTTCTACTAGATCATGGGGGTTAGGGGACAGGGAGTAAATGCAATAGGAGTTTAATGTTGTGTGTCCAAAAAGACAAAGATTTGTATGGTCTCTCGAGTTTCACCTTTAAAATGCCAAAGTGCCTGCAAACAGAGGGACTAGTCTTATGAAAGAAGAGACCAAGCTCTGGAGGTTCCTTAAAGCATGTTAAACTTGGATGACCGTGGCACTTGAAACATATCAGAAACAAATGTAACAGGAGAACTTGCTGGATTCTTTGTGGTTTCTGTGCCAAGCTGTGAGGACCTCTTTCTGGTGTATGTGGATGTTAGACTTGCTTCCTGTTCCCTTTGCACCTGGAATCAAATCCAGTTCTAGATGTAATGTTAGAAATGCTTTCCTGACACCACTTGGCCTCAAGTGCCATGGGAAAAGAGTCCCTGCTAAAATGGCATTCTAGTTTACCTGGATGTTAAATTTAGCTGCATTATTGCTCGAGAAATGCACGTGCATTGTTATGTTTGTTTAGTCTGTGCCATTAATGCTTTTTGACAAGTAAGAAATCACAGACTGACACATTCTGACAGCTAAATTCCTTTTTGTTTGTGCACAAGCTGCAGCTTGCTAGTGATTCATATTTTGTGGGAGTTTTTGAACCACTGGTGAAGAGCTGGACTGACAGTGTATGAAATAGTTAAGCTTGATACTACAGCTACTTTGCTGACTAGCTCTGACTCCCCAGATATTGCGTGCATAGGAGAAACGTGCTGTATCTGCATTATTTGCTGTCTGATCCCTTCAGTATGCCTACATTCCACCAAGAGGTGGGAATGTTTTGTTACTGTAGTGTCCTGCTGCGGTCATTTTCCTTCTGAGGGCATTTGTTGTCTCTCACCCTTCACAGATTCTATCCAAACGTAACACTGTGTTTTACGGTGGGGATTCAGTCTCCATGATTGACTACATGATCTGGCCATGGTTTGAACGTCTGGAACCATTCCAGCTGAAGGAGTGAGTACCTTGCCTGGCTTCTAGTGCATACTGAAGTACCTCAGCATAAATATTCTTTGCATGTACTCTGCAGCAATGGGCCACTCTTGGGGGCTGCTGAAGAAGGTTTGTATTGTGTTACAGTTTGGGGGAAGCATCTTCTCAAACGAGAGATGAGTTGTCCAGGGATCTTCTGTAAACAGGCTTTCTTTCACCAGGTCTGTTTTCCTACCAAATAATTTTGACAGATCTGGAAAAAGTGATCAAAATATAGGACTTTGTCCCTAACATTATAGATGAAAATGGCCTTTATTTGACAGGGATGGAGTTACAGAGGCCTAGGTTCAAATTTCTTGGTCCAAAACCTCAGACTTGAAATGCAGTCTTCTGCTTCTCTTCAGAAGTCCTAGGTTGACAAAGGAGGGTGATTTTGTTTTGAGATGGGTAAACTGTATCCTACCTTGCTGTAGCTAATAGATCTGTCGGTGTTGTAATAGCATTTTTTAATATATAAATAAATGTCTTGGTCTGTTATGTCCTGAAACAGCTCCAGTTATCATGGTGTTGCATTAATATCTAGGGAAATTGTATCAAAGGAAAACTGTTTTATAGCTGGCTTAAAACAGGACTAAAGAGTCAGCTTGTATGAGGAAGTGGGTGATAAAGTGATGGAGGGGTATAGAACAGTTAGCCTCACCCTGGTGCCTGAAGCATTCTTGAAGAACAAGAAAGATGCAGGGAATCCTTAGCATTGAAACTTCTGGCACTGTAAAATGAGGGCTTTACTGATGGGTTGGTGACTGACTTTGTCTCCTGTGTGACCCTTGATTGGAAGGGGAAATACTGCAAACAATATAGGAGCATAGGTCTAGAGTCATTAAGGTATTTGAATGATTGAGGATCTGAGCTGTTGCACGTTAAGGAAGGATGCTGCCTGGAGAAGTTATGCATTAACTAAACTTGTGAGTTGGAAATTGTAATATACAGTACTTGGGTCAACCTGCCGGAAGAGAATGAAAATAAATTACACTGTTAAGCTTTCAATTTGCCACAGTTGTGTGTTTTTGGTTTGTTTGTTTTTTTTTTTCAAATGTGTCTGAGTGGGTTTATAGATTTAGTCTGTTAGTCGAATCCTCAGTTTCCTCAATAGACTGTGTCTGTGTTCTGAGCTGCTGGGTTGCAGGGTAGTACAAACTGCACGGCTTGTCTTGGTATGCAAGAGAGAGGAGAGAAGAGGAGGACTTGACCACTGCACGCAGCATTTGTTTCAAGAATCACCTTTAACAAAGCATTCCAGAGGGAGGCAGTGGTGCACAAGCCTCTGCCCTCAACTCAGAGCAGATGATAAATAAGAGCTGTGGTTTTCTGCAGCAGGGATAACGTAAGCAAAAACATGCTGATATCTTGCACAATAGGTGCTCATTTGTGTTTTTGCTCAGCTTTGCCTAGTGCACAAGCTCTGTAAGAATTCTACTTTCCAAATGCTAGTCTGTCTTCTATGATCTGATATGTATTTCCATCACTTGCTCTGAGCTGAAAATTATACTGGGAGGGAGAAAGAAAAGCACGCAGTAAAATAGACTTTCTCAGGCTGTTTTGCTTCCTTGATGCTCTCCAAGTTTCCCATTTGCGTTAGTCTCTTTCCTTTTCCCGTAGCTCTCTGAGTCACACCCCAAAGCTCCAACGCTGGATGGAGGCCATGAAGGAGGACCCTGCTGTCAAGGCTACAATGACTGACCCACAGACATTCAAAGGTTACCTCCAGCTCTATGTGAAGAACAGCCCTGAGGCATGTGACTACGGGCTCTGAGGTGCCAGCAGGCACGTGCTTGCTGAAGTGTCAGTGCTTCTCTTCAGTGTGAGCTGTGGGAAGCTAGTGTAATTCGGTGCGGGCTCTTCTGTGGTTGCATTTCATAATGGGGAATAAATCTGTGCTGAAAAGGCTGATAATTTTTCTTTGAAGTCCACTC